ATCTTTATCATAAATTTTGTAGAAAAGTTGAATCCAGAAGATAAAAGTTTGAATGGTCAGAAATTTTTGAAGTTTTTTTTTTGAAACTAGGACCCCAGATACTCCATGACACTGGCAGGAAATTTTTTGCCTATGTGACATAGCTTAAACATTTCCAAGCAGTGTGACATGGTCAAAAGATTTTTAAGCAGTGTGACATGGCTTAAAAATTTCTTAGCAGTATGACATGGTTCAAAAATTTCTTAGCAGTGTGACATGACTCAAACATTTTTCAGCAGTGTCACACAGCTAAAAAATTTCCTACCAGTTTGAAACACTTCAAAAATTTCTTACCAGTCTGACACCCTTCAAATATTTCTGACCACTTTCACTTGACTAGGATATTTTTGAACACAATTTATCTACCCAAATATTTCTAGTCACAATATTAGAGGTCAAACATTTTCTATCAAATCCAATAATATATTTTCTTCCAAAGGCCAAAAAAAAACCAGCCAGAGGATCTATTAGCCTGGATAATTTTTCAGGATTTCCTAGCTAATAGCTTGGTCAAGGTGGGTGACTGAAGTGGGATTTACTAGGACTTTATCTCCTTCCTTGAGGTCGAGCGCCCTACGTCCTTTGTTATGCTCGCGGGCTTGGTGGTGCTGCGCATGTGCTATTGCCTGCCTAGTGCTATCCCTGTGCATCTGTAGGTGAGCGAGCCACTCTTCTGAGTTTGTTCTTGTGACTTCCTTCCCTCTGGTGTCTTTAGGAATCAAGAAGTCAACCGGCGTTCGTGGCTCAAAACCAAACATGAGGAAGTTCGGGGTCGCGCTCGTGGACGAATGTACGCTCGAGTTGTATGCCCATTCGAGCAGAGGTAGCCATAGCGCCCATGTTTCCTTGTGGTTTGCTGTAAAGGCCCGGATCATGACTTCGAGGAATCGATTAACTATTTCGGTCTGGCCGTCGTGTTGCGGGTGATGGGATGAGGATAAGGACATCTTAGTGCGTAAGTGTTTCACTACCCCTTTCCAAAAGTCTGATGTCCAACGGGGGTCGCGATCGCAGATTATACTCTCGGGTAGGCCGAAACGACATGCTATTTTCTTGACGAAGAGAGCCCCAAAGTCCTCTGCATCTAGACCGGTCGTCGTCGGTGTGAAGGTCCCATGTTTTGTGAGTCTGTCCACTGTTACATGGATAGTGTT